CGGGGGCCGACACCATCCCGGGCCGGGGGTCTCACGGGCCGACGGCACCCCGGGCCGGGGGTCTCAGGGGCTTACGGCATCCAGGGCCGGGGTTCTCACGGGCCGACACCATCCCGGGCCGGGGGGCTCGGGGGCCGACACCATCCCGGGCCGGGGGTCTCACGGGCCGACACCATCCCGTGCCGGGGGGCTCGGGGGCCGACACCATCCCGGGCCGGGGGGCTCGGGGGCCGACACCATCCCGTGCCGGGGTTCTCACGGGCCGACACCATCCCGGGCCGGGGGGCTCGGGGGCCGACACCATCCCGGGCCGGGGGTCTCACGGGCCGACACCATCCCGAGCCGTGGGTCTCACAGGCCGATGGCACCCCGGGCCGGGGGTCTCGAGCAGCGCTGACCCACGTAGTTATTCTCTGAACAGGTGATGCGTATCCACAAGCAGGTGTTCTGCGCTTTCTCATAGAACCAAGATAAACTAGGGGTGCAGCTGGCGCCCGCTTACCACTGATCACAGACGAACGAAAAAGTATTCTCCCCGAGGGAGCCCCGGGGCAGGGCCCACGTCCCGAGTCTGCAGGATCGTTTTAACCGGGGTGTGATGTCTGTGTAAGGCCGCTTGCCTCGCGAGGCTCGGACCCGCCCGTCCCTCTCCACGCCTGAGTCCCTCTCCACGCCTGAAATTACGTCACCAGAATCGGCACTCAGCATCTAGCTTCGCCACGCCCACCTCTGCGCCCAGCACTAAACTCTGCACTCGGCACCTAGCCAGCCGTTGGAAAACTCCGCCAAAATTTAAAAGAAGCCCTGCCAAAAGCTGCCCAATAGCGTATGGCCCCGTCCGGCTCGCTCACCGGAAATCCCGCCTACCTACCTATAGCAGCTTGCCACGTCCACATCCTGTTTGCCACAGCCAATCAGGGCGCCTTCCCTCCCTATATAATTCCACTGGGAGGACGCTGGCCCTCTTTCCCTGGACCATAGAACCTCGCCTGGGAGTCGAATAAATTGGCGTCTAATTGTTCTCATGCAGGCTTCGGTTTCCTCATTTTAAACTCAGCACTAAACCGTACAGAGAATAAACCTTACAGTTTGTATGCTGTCTTGCCGCTTTAGAATGTCCCCAACAGTTTTCCACTTGGAGGCTGGCTGGCTAGGTTTTCCTTGCCATCGTTCTTCCTAGCAAACAATACGTTGTCACCTACTCAGCATTTCTCAGCACAAGTGACCTGCTTTTCATCTTGATCACTGCAGCAGTCCCTGCCCTTACTCTCTCTCATTCCCCTCAGAACGTCCAAGCTCCTTACTTCATGCCACCCTGTTTGCTCACTGCCTGCCAGCTAATTGGCCGCCTCTCAAAGCTCAGCAGCCCCGGCAGCTCTTCCGCCTAAGTTCTCCTCCTGGTCTCAGCATGGATCGCTTTCTTTCGTCCTTTAGGTCTCAGCCTAAAAGTAAACTCCCCAACATTCTATTTAAAGTAGAATTCTCGGCCGGGCGTGGTGGCTCACGCCTGTAATCCAAGCACTTTGGAGGCCAAGGCGGGCGGATCACCTGAGGTCGGGAGTTCAAGACCAGCCTGACCAACATGGTGAAACCCTGTCTTAAATAAATAAATAAATAAATAAAGTAGAATTCTCAGGGCCGGGCACAGTGGCTCACGCCTATAATCCCAGCACTTTGGGAGGCTGAGGTGGACAGATCACTTGAGCTCAGGAGTTTGAGACCAGCCTGGCCAACATGGTGAAAATCCGTCTCTACTAAAAACACAAAAATTAGCCGGGCATGGTGGTGGGCACCTGTAATCCCAGCTACTCAGGAGGCTGAGGCAGGAGAATCGCAGAACCTGGGAGGTGGAGTTCACAATGAGCCGAGATTGCACCACTGCACTTCACACCCCAGCCTGGATGACAAAAAAGGGAGACATGCCAGAGTGACGTGTCAAGGGAGCCAAGAGTGAGAACGTTCCAAGAGGGTCCCGCGGCCAACTGTCTCATCTGACTAGGAGGAGTCGGGTAAAGAGGACAGTGAAGTGTTCATCACTGGAGACCAAGAGCCGTTTCAGTGCAGTGCTGGAGGCAGAAACCTAGTTTGAGTGGGCTGAAGTTTATGGCATTTGTATACTAATGAGAAAACGCTCACTTCCCCTTCAGTGGTCTGGTATAAACGGCAGCACTTTCAACTTATCTTCCCTTTTTTCCTCCCTCCAATTAAGGGAATGTGCTCCCTCGTCAGCTTTCGGTGACTTTGGAGCTGCCACTGTCATCTGGGTAGCACTAGGGACAGGGGCCCGGCCGTCCAGCTGTACCATCTTCTTTCTCTTCTGCCGGTGAATTCTGCTTCCTCAGCTTTCTCTATTCCTTGCTCAGATCCCACCTCCAGATCCCACAACCTACCCTAGAATGGAACATCCGTCTAGCCTGTTCTCCCAAGGCCTTTTTTTTATATTCGAGACAAAGTTTCCCTTTGTTGCGCAGGCTAGAGTGCAGTGGCATAACCTCTGCTTCCCGAGTTCAAGCAATTTTCCTGCCTCAACCTCCCGGGTAGCTGGGATTACGGGTGCCCGCAACCAAGCCCCGCTGATTGGTTTGTATTTTTAGTAGAGACAGGGTTTCATCCCCAGGCTGCCCAGGCTGGTCTAAAACTCCTGAGCTCAGGCAATCCACCCATCTTGGCCTCCCAAAATGCTAGGATTACAGGTGTGAGCTACCGTACCTGGCTGTCTTTTTTTCTTTCTTTCTTTTTAAACAGTCTTGCTCTGTTGCCCAGGCCGGAGTGCAGTGGCGCGATCTTGGCTCACTGCAACCTCCACTTCTCAGACTCAAGCAGTCCTCCCCCGTCAGCCTCCCCAGCAGCTGGGACTACAGGTGTGCACGCCACACCCAGCTCATTTTGTAATTTTAGTAGAGACAGGGTTTCACCATGTTGGTCATGCCGGTCTCAAATTCCTGGCCTTGAAACCACCTTTGCAAAATGACGACCGAGACTGTGAAGAGATCGAACTTCACCGAATCCATCTTGCTTCTAACCTCCAAGCTGTCCTTGGTCATTAATGGGTGTAGGCTGAACTAACTTGGGGGGAAACTTAGTTTATAGCTTACAGTTTATAGTTTAAAACAAAGACAATAAGAACCCTTTCCCAAAGCAGACCTCCTTCTGGGTCTGGGGACTAGACGGCTTTGGTAGGACTAACATTAGTCACAGGATTAGAAATTCGGGTTTGGGAGTCCTGCAGCTGGCGGCTACGAGATGCTGCCCCTCCCTAAACGGCCCCTAAGATCAGAGCTTGAGATATTTTGCAGACCCTGCGCTTGGTGGAGCAGCTGCACCACCGGATCAATAAACCGGCTTCTCTGATCTGTGGCCCCGACCCAAGAGCTGACTCAGCACAAGAAGACAGCTCTGACTCCCGACGCTCTCAGCTCTGACCAGTCAGCACTCCTGGCTCACTGCTTCCCCTACCCACCAAGCTATCCTAAAAGCTCTGCTGCCCGAATGCTCGGGGAGACGGATTGGAGCGATAAGAAAACTCCAGACTCCCTCACAGCCGGCTCTATGAATTACTTTTTCTCTATTGCAAGTGCTCTGTCCTGATGAATCGGCGCTGTCTGGGCAGCGGGCAAGGGGAACCCCCTGGGCAGTTATAGCCTCAGGCGATCCACCGGCCTCAGCCTCCCAGAGGCTGGGATCACCGCTGCGGCCGAGGCACCTGGCAGCTTCCTGTGGCACGACTGATTTTCTCACCCCAGGCCCTGTTGGTGATCTGTGTCCTCAGACTTCCACTTGCTCCTCCCTAGGAATATCACCAACGAAGTAACAGCAAGTGCCCACAGCTCCGGCAGAGCCACACCTATGATGATGAACAGGTCTGCGAAAAGGTAAGGCGTTAGTAATGATGGCAGCGACTGGGCCTCTGTTACCCTAGAAGGCTTACCACAGGGAAACGAAGAAATGGACCTAACGCTAGCCTTGGTAGAGCTGTTTGTCTCAAGCACATGATTTCTTACACAAGTGGCTTGTGCATAAGCGTAATCACCGAATTAATCATCGTAAGTTTACCCTAAGGAGCAAAAACCTGCAGCTGCCATCACCATCACTAAATTTGACACTTTAAAGGATTCAAAACAGACTCCAGGCCAGGTGCGGTGGCTCACGCCTGTAATCCCAGCACTCTGGGAGGCCGAGGCAGGTAGATCACTTTAGGTCGGAAGTTTGAGACCACCTTACCAACATGGAGAAACCCTGCCTCTACTAAAAATACAAAAATTAGTCGGGCGTGGTGGTGGGCACCTGTAATCCCAGCTACTTGGGAGGCTGAGGCAGGAGAATTGCTTAAAACCTGGGAAGTGAAGGTTGCAGTCAGCCAAGATTGCGCCACTGCATTCCAGCTTGGGCAACAGAGCGAGACTCCTTCCCAAATAAAAAAAATAAAAAAATAAAAAAAGAGAGAGAGAAAAAGAAAAGAAAAATAATTTTTTTTTAAATGGTTTGTTGTCAAAAAAATTTTTTTTTTTCTTTTCTTTTTTTTTTTTTGAGGAGTCTCGCTCTGTTGCCCAGGCTGGCGAAAAGTGGTGTGATGTCAGCTCACTGCAACCTCCACCTCCTGGGTTCAAACGATTCTTCTGTCTCAGCCTCCTGAGTAGCTGGGACTACAGGCATTTGCCACCACGCCCAGCTAATTTTTGTATTTTTAGTAGAGACAGGGTTTCACCATATCGGCCAGGCTGATCCCGAACTCCTGACCTTGTGATCCACCCGCCTTGGCCTCCTAAAGTGCTGGGATTACAGGCGTGAGCCACTGCGCCCAGCCTGAAATTCTTACATAGAAAGCAGCTCATATACAGTTTAGAAGAATTAGGCCGGACGTAGTAGCTCACGCCTGTAATCCAAGCACTTTGGAGGCCAAGGCAGGCGGATCACCTGAGGTCAGGAGTTCAAGACCAGCCTGACCAACATGGTGAAACCCCGTCTTTATTAAATAAATAAATAGAAGAATTAAACTGTATGCTTGCTTTGGCAACACATATACTAAAACTGGGACGATACAGAGAAGTTTAGCATGGTCCCTGCACAAGGATGACATGAAAATTAATGAAGGTTCCAATTTTATTTGAAAAAATTAAACTGTGGTAGCCAATTATAATGATCCCTTCTCATATATGTGCATCAGGGGTTTTCTCAGTAATTGTTTTCATCATTGGAAGTAAAATCTCTGTGCAGAGACTGTGTGTGTCACTTCAGGCATTGCATGAATTCATTCATTTATCCAGGGATTCAGTGATTCTTGAGCTCCTTCCTGCCATGTCCCAAGCTCTGTGTGAGGCTCGGAGTGAAGAAAGCAGGGTAACATACAGAAGATACAGCCCCTGGCTGCAAGAATCTCACAGCTGTGGGGCAAGAAGTGAATCACACTGCAGCAGACAGTGGGTAAAGATTTCTTAAACAGACACAAAGAGCATTGACCATAAAAAAAGACTGATGCATAGAGCTTAATCAAAATCAGTAATTTCTCGGCTGGGTGCGGTAGCTCACGTCTGTAATCCCAGCACTTTGTGAAGCCGAGGTGGGCAGGGTCAGGAGTTTGAGAGCAGCCTGGCCAACGTGGTGAAACCCCATCTCTACTAAAAATACAAAAATTAGCTGGGCGTGGTGGCACTACCTGTAGCCTCAGCTACGCAGGAGGCTGAGGCAGAAGAATGGCTCGAGCCCGGGAGATGGAGGCTGCAGTGAGCCGAGATCGCACCACTGCACTCCAGCCTGGGCAACAGAGAGACTCTGTCTCAAAAAAAGAAAAAGAAAAAAGAAAAGGTGCTTACTCATCAAGAAGATGCAAATTCAAACACAAGGAGATAACAGTAAACACCCACCACAATGCCTAAAATTAAAAACGTTTGTGAGAATATGGAGAAACCGGATGTTACACACTGCTGGTGGGCGTGATTAGTAGGAGTACGCTGGGAATCTGTTTGACAGTATCTGCCAAACTTAAATATTCACCTGCCCTCTGATGGTAGTCCTACTCTTAGGTATAGCCCTGGAAAAATCAGTGCATAATTCCTTCAGAGGACATGTAGAAGAATATTCAGAGAGGCATTACTTATAACAGGCAAAAGTTGAAAATATAAATGTCCACTAAGAGTAGAAAAAGTTGGCTGGGCGCAGTGACTCACGCCTGTAATCCCAGCACTTTGGGAGGCCAACGTGGGCAGATCATGAGGTCAGGAGTTCAAGATCAGCCTGACCAACATGGTGAAACCCCACCTCTACTAAAAATACAAAATTAGCTGGGCATGGTGGTGCACACATGTAATCTCAGCTGCTCGGCAGGCTGGGGCGGGAGAGTTGCTTGAACCCGGGGCGTGGAGGCTGCAGCGAGGCGAGATCACACCATTGCACTCCAGCCTGGGCAAAAAATAGCAAAACTGCATCAAAAAAAAAAAAAAAAAAAAAAAAAAAAAAGAATAAATTACATCATGGATGAATCTTATATATAGAATATTGAGTGAAGAAAGCCACACCCGAAAGTGAGACTGGGCCGGTCACGGTGGCTCACGCCTGTAATCCCAGCACCTTGGGAGGCAGAGGCAGGAGGATCACTGAGCCCAGGAGTTCGAGACCAGCCTAGGCATCATGGCGAGACCCCATCTCCACAAGAAATAATAAAAATTAGCTGGGCTGGTGGGGCTTGCCTGTGGCCCCAGCTACTCGGGAGGCTGAAGTGGGAGGATCACTTGAGCCTGAGAGGCTGAGGCTGCAGAGAGCCATGATTGTGCCACTGCACTCCTGCCTGAATGACACAGCAAAACAAGGGCGGGGGACTGTATGGTTCCGTTTATGTGAAATTCAAGAACTAAAAACTAATCAATGATTATAGGAGCCAAGAGGAGTTAACACAGGGACAAGGGGTAAGGATGTCGTGTATCTGGATTTGTGTGGTGGGTCACCCAGGCATGCATGTGAAAATCCGTCAGATTTCATCATTCCGGTTTGTGCCCTATGCATGCCACATAATATCCAGATGTTGAAAATGCAATGGGAGCATAGAGAAAGAAGCACCTAACTCGGAGGAAAGAAATCTGGGCTGACTTCACTGGGCATGTTTGAACTGAATCTTGAATTCAGGAGCTTGTCCATAGAGGGCCACGGATCTCCCAGGCAGAGAGAACCACAGAGAGAACTCACAGCAATCTGGTGAGAGTATGGTATAAGATGACAGCGGCTTGGGGCTTGAACAAAAGTTGGGAGGCTGAGTGTGGTGGCTCACGCCTGTAATCTCAGCACTTTTGGGAAGCTGAGGCGGGCGGATCACAAGGTTAGGAATTTGAGATCAGCCTGGCCAACATGGCAAAGCCTCGTCTCTACTAAAAATATAAAAATTAGCCGGGCGTGGTGGTGGGCGCCTGTAAATCCCGCTACCCGGGAGGCTGGGGTGGGAGGATTGCTTGAGTCTGGGAGGCGGAGGTTTCAGTGAGCCGAGATCACACCACTGCACTCCAGCCTGGGTGAGAGAGTGAGACCCTGTCTCAAAAAAAGTCTAGTACAGGAACGATGCAACACATGGAGTCAGCCGAGGGCCAGGTTAGGAGAGAGGAAAAGGGGTGGCTGCCTGCTCAGTGCTGTTCCGCCAAAGGCCCAGATTCTTTGAGGGGTGGCAGATGAGGTCCCGAACAGCTGGGCTGTGGAAAGCCTGGGGGCAGCTGAGGGTGAGGTGTTTCTCACGGGGGCAGCCGGTGACTCAACAGGAACGTGGTGCTCATGAGGCCACGCCTCCTGCTTCCTGCCTTGGAATCACATGAAAATGAGCCGCGGGTGGGTCAGCAGGCCAGGGCCCTCCAGGGAGAGGATGGGCCGTCAGTGCAGGCCTGTGGGCAGGGGCGTGGGGCGCACACACGCGCCTGGGTGACCTCAGTATAGACAGAGCCTCCCGGGCCCTCCTGTCCAGAGTCCTGAAAGGACGACCTTCGGGTCCAGCCCTGTCTCTCTGTCACCCAGGCTGCAGCCCGGCCTGGGGCTGCAGGGGTGGAGACCACTCTGAAGAGGCGGCCTTTCTCCCGGTTTTCTCGCATTCTGATTCTTGGCTCCTTGGCTCCAGATGCAGGTAAGCAGAGGTGAAAGGGCGAGGTGGCGGCCAGGGAACAGCGCGGCCCCGCAGGTGAGATACACGCTTCCACGGGAACAGCCCCGCTCGCAGCCTGGCGTCTGTGGCTTCGGGCAGTTCTCTCGCACCTTCTCCTTGCCTCAGTCTGTCAACTTGTGGCCTCTGCACACACCTAGGACACTTTTCCCGCCTAATGCCTCATTGTCCAGCAAGCATGAGCACGGGGAGCACGTCCTCCCGGAGCCTGCGTTCTGCTGCTGCCACCTGGGATCAGGTTCCCGCGCGCGCTCCGTGACACTTACGCTGGAATCCAGCGAGTCCGCGGCAAACTCAATCCCTGCCCTTCTTGGGGGAAGGATTCTGCGGAGGGGCAGAAGTAGGTTTAAGGCAGAGCGAGAGACCGAGGCAAATTTTAGAGCAGAAATAAACGTTTATTAAAAAGTTTTGGAGCTGGAAGCAGGGCGCGGAGACTCACGCCTGTCATCCCAGCACCTTCAGAGGCGAGGCGGGCGGATCGCGAGGTCAGGAGTTCGAGACCATCCTGGCCGACGTGGCGAAACCCCGTCTCTACCAAATACACAAAAATTAGCCGGGCGTGGCGGCGCCTGTGGTCGCAGCTACTCGGGAGGCTGCGGCGGGAGAATCGCCTGAACCCGGGAGGGGGAGGTTGCAGCGAGCCGACATCGCGCCGCCGCACTCCAGCGGGGGCCGAGGGCGAGACTGTCTC